CCCGCCTCCTCCGCCGCTACCCGCAGCCGTGCCGCTTTTCGATGCCTCGCTCGTACTGGAAAAAACAAATAGAATCAAATCTAGTCGTCTTACAATCCAAGAAGTATTCCTTGAAAGCCAGCTGAACTTACAAGTTAGAATATGATGATCTGGCGCTGCCGAGAGACGAGGGCGCGGCCCCGAGGCCGGGCGGGGGCGCGTCGTCGCCGGCGCAGGGCGGGCGCGCGGCCGCACTCAGCATGTAGTTGGTCGACTCACTGAAACAGTTGTTGGACAGCCTGCTTCAAATTATATTACTGCCTCGAGTGGGCCCATGAGAGCCGGCGGAATACGCACGTTGACCCTACCACCTACTTAATATTTCCAGTAATTATTTGATAAGTAAAAGTCTTAAGATTACTATGTTATTTAAATAATAATCTCGATGGAACAGGCATGACTTTCATGTGGTAATCAGTTGATTCGACGCCTATATAACTATTTCGATGACGTCACCAGACGCGGAAATGTATTAGTTGAGTAAGAATAACATTAGGCTCGTTGTATAAACGGCTGATGAGTAAACCATAAGATTGTACAGAGAAAAGTTACCATAATAATAGTTGAACTATGCGTGTAAAGGAATTTAGTCTAATAGTTGATACAGAGTATCTAAATAACTCTATTTAATTATATAACATTATATAGACATTTTAAATGGCGACAATTCTTAGAGATGAACATTAATATGTCGTTTGGAATTTAATCTTTTTGCAAAATAGTTTACTATATGTGTAAAATAAAGACAAAGACCTCTTTATCGACCTTGACAATGCTCATGACCACTGTAACATTGAAAAGATTACATTATCCATGTTTTTGTTAGCGAATTTTGCACAGAAGCCATGAATGTAATTGATCTTTATAGCTTAACTGATAACCTTTGACAATACGAATATAGTTTATTATTAATTTTATAAATTAATGAGGTAGACATATACAATACACGTTTTCTGTTTCGTATAAGGAATAGGATATTTATTAGGTGAGTTATGGCTATCAGCCATTATAATAAATTGGTAGACGACAATTTTAATTTTCAGTATTCTCTCTATATGTGACAAAATTTAAAGTTATTCATAGACTAGAACCAATAAAATAGAGAAAATATGGCAAGTTAATGAAAAATGTAAAGTAATATTTTTTAAATGTTACTAAAATATACATTTAAACATCTATTTCTACTCCCTTTTTTTAATTCAGCGGAGAGTCGCGGGCGAAAGCTAGTGTTCACATAAAAGAGTTAGTGTTTTGTCCATGAATCACAGTACGTTAAGATTATTGAACTATTATTGCGTGTTAACAAAGGTCATGATAAAACCCAAGAGACTGCAATGTAAACATAGGAGTCGACATGGTGTTATCTCAACCATAATGGGTACAGAGTATAGTTAATAAATTAATTTTTACATTTACAAACAAACGATAAAAACGCTGTAAGATATCCCTTAATAACATATTATTAATGATTTATTGACATTATAATAAATGCAGTCTTGACTTTTATAAATCGAGTTAAAAAGTTGACGAGTTACTACAGTTGTTTTAATTAGGGTTCTTAAAACATTTATTTTGCACTAGCTTTTGCTTGCGACTCAACTGCAAGTAGCCTATGTGTTCTTCCAGACTACCCACTACATCTATGCCAAATTGTAACGAAATCCGTTCAGCTGTATAGGCTACAAACTCTAACAAACATCCATCCATCTAAACTTTCGCATTTACAATATTAGTATGATTAAATATTTATATTTGGGTACACTTGGCAACATATCTAATCACTACGAGTCTGCTGTATATTTCTGCATATCCATCTTTTTTACCGTATTAATTATTATTTAACAAGTAGATCGAGTATAAGACAATACATTATGGTTTATCTTTACGAATGTTGTTTTTTGTTCTATTTATCAAGTTTGTGTTATTGTGACGTATTTTTTAAAGTGTTTGTAATGTTACAATATGATAAAACAACATCAAGAATTGTGAAACTTTGACAATAAATAATTTTCTCAGCTATGATTGTTAAAAATAATAAATGTTTGTATGTTGGTTTCTCTTTTCTTTTTTAAAATATAACCGCTTTCATGTTTAAATTACCAAGATGCAACTTTTACAAAATGCATTTCTATGTGTAATGTTCGCTATCTACAATAATAAATTTTACTTTGGCTAAAAGTATACAAATATCTCTATATATTTATACTTGCTGTTGTTCGCGACTTCGTCCACGTGAAATTAACAAATCACAAAATTTATAGCCTATTTTACTCACAGATAAATTACCTTTTTAATGGTGAAAGAATTTTTAAAATCAACCCAGTAGTGTTTGAGATATATACGTACATACATAACACAATCCTTTCCTCTTTATAACATTAGTGTAGATTATTAAAACCTAGCTTTCTCCCGCGACTCCGTCCGCGTGGAATGACAAAAAACAAAATCAAGTAGCCTACGTGTTCTTCCAGACTATCCTCCACATCCGTACCAAATAACATCGAGATCCGCTAAGCCGTTTAGGCTACAAACTCTAACAAGCATCCATCCATCTAAACTTTCACATTTATAATATTAATTAGAAGTTAGATGTTACAGATATGTGTTCTATTTACTTAAATAAACTATACACGACTGCACTAACATGGCGATATTGACCTTACAACTAAACGAAGGTGTACTAAGTAATAAGGTCATAAAATTACTCCATCTACGGAAAGTGGCCTTGTTTTAGTATGCTCCTTTCCAAACGGAGCAAAAATAATTCTACATTTGATTACACAAACAAAGTTATGTTGTCCTGGTACTTAATTATAATAAATAGAAATAAGATTTTACTGATTATATGTCAATATCGGTAAAGCAATGATTGAGACATGCAAATACGTAGTGCAATGATAAAACTTAATTTATGATGTGACCCCATTTCGTATTAGGTATCAAAGTTCAGAAACATCAAAGTTATATCATATTTACAGACATTGAGATCAACGTTGATTGTAGCTAATTTAACCGATGGCGTAAATAAATCAGACCACTGAATAAAAGTGTATCGTCTTGTAGAAACGCCAAATGTTAGTATCAGTAACTTTACGCGTATCGTAATACCAGGTGTTTCCTTTTTTGTAGGTAAGTAACTGGGAGTAAAGAAGCATACCTATTAATATTCAAAATAAAAGTCATCTAAAGTCATTACCTTAATGATTAATACCAAATATGTGTATCGCCTACGTCGTTGCATCTAAATGTATTTAAATTATGACGATAGAAACGATAGGAAAGATATTATTGTTAGCAATACCCCTTTTTTCGATTTCCTTTCTATTCTTTTTTCCATCTATACCTATCCCTCAAATAAAGTCATCTGTAACTCTTGAGAGTTATAGATTTACTAATATTCAACCAGGCTTTCTCCTTTTATACCTCCTATTTATATAAAAAAGCGTTGCGTCACCTGGCGGTCCTCATGCGAAGCGCTGCGCAGTTCTCCTTGCACTTGTAGGCGAGGACCTGCTTGATGCGGCTGACCTCGACGTCGGGGAATTGCCGGCTGACGTAGGAGATGAGGGCGTGCACGCGGCGGCGGTC